AGCTAACACATAAAATGTGTGAAAACAAAGAGTTGTTAGCTTAATGATCTGGGAGTTGTATGAAGATACAATTGATAACACTATCTACCCAAATGTTATATTAAGGTTTGTTGAGTACACTCAATGTCTTAATATAATAGATGGGATCCTAGCCCACTGGGAGTCAAGTATGGACTCCATAAATTTATGTAAGAGGGTCATAAATTTTATTTAAACAGTGGGAGCATAATTAATTTAATAAAAGTTCATGTTAAATTAATTAATGCAGTTTATGTATATTATTCTTTTCCTTTTCGTCATTTACATTTATATTGAATCGTGAGTAACCATATGTTTTGAATGGCATACTAGATGTCAACAACCAAACTATATTTTCTTAATAGACACCGCAATTGGAGAATTGTTCTCATGCATGAGAAAATTGGTCACGTCCTTGAGTAGCCCTTTCCAGAGACACCTGCTGATGACTCGATTGAAGAAGAGGTGACTACTGTAATAAACGCAGTGATGACAATAGTATTGCAATGTATGTGGTACTTGCAACTGTGTCACTGAGTTACAAAAGCGACTTGAGAGTATAGATGTTAACACATAATTCTTCACTACAAGGAGTTGTATGATAATAATCGTGTGTGGAAGGATATGAGACTTCCAAACAACTATACCGGTGCAAAATGACAGAGTAATCTTCAATCGATACTTAGACACTGAAGATGATTGACGTTGAGAAATGTCTCAATTGAGTTCAATCACAAACCATGAACTAAGTAGTGACTTGGTTCTGCAACATCTGTTAGAGAAAGCTATTTATAACTAATTATGAATTTAACGTGAATAAGATCGAATGCAAAATTATTAAGTTGCTTAACATGTTTAGGACTGTTAAGCTCTTTATCAAAGTTGGAAGTGGGCAAACTATTGATTCCTCTAAAGATATTAAGAGGAAGTCTAAAGGGGCTTTATGAAAGCATCCAATATGGTTAAGACAGTGTAAGCGAAGGACAAATATCAAATCTAATGACCCTTGTTTTCATTGTAGAATGAAAGGTCATTGGTAGGAATATAGCGTGGCTTATGTCTACTTTACGAGTTTCTTAGGTATTTGATACCAGATGTAAATCTCATATTTATACAAATATGGAGAAACTTAAAAGAAATAGACCACTGTAAAAGGGAGAAGTTGACATACACATTGGAGATGAGCAAATGTTGCTGCATTGTCTGTATGAATATACTTATTGCCATTGCTTTTTGTTTTAATATTGAAATTAGAGAAATGTCGTTTTATACCAACCATAGCTGGAACATTAAAATGAATTTCATGTTCGGACATGAACTATTTTAATGTTAAGGACAATAGTTGTTCTTGTTTATCTTAATAAGATCCTAATGGCTATGGTAAATTACAAAACGACGATTATATTCTTTAATATTAAGGATTCTATAATGAGTATAGAAATTATAAGGTATAAATGCGATAATCTAATTATTACCTAAATTTGGCATGACAGACTTTGTCATTTAGATGAAATGTAATTCCAAAGTTACATAAAGATGTATACTTGGAATTAATTGATTTTGACAAGAACAAATTATGCATGTCTAGCACAATGACCAAATCTTCTTTTACTTGAAAAGAAGAAAGGTCAGGATAATTACTAGTCTAATGCATGGTGATGCATATGGACTTGTGTCAATTAATGTCAGGTAATGTTTCTCTTATTTCATCAATGATCATGTATACTTGATGAAAACTCAAACATCAAACTCTTGAAAAGTTCAAGGAATTCACACTAGAATTAGAGAAACAAATAGGTAAAACATTAAGATTTGATCAAGTATCTTAAAGATAAAATCTAGATCATCTAAGAGAGAATGAAATTCTCTTGCAGTGGACTCCTTCATATACACTGCAGCAAGGTGGTGTATTTAAAAGGAGGAATCGTTAATTATTAGATATAATGCGGTTAATAACAAGCCATGCAAATCTCCCAAAAATAGTTTTGGAGTCGTGCATTGATTGCAGTGTGCAACACACTAAATCATGTCCCATCTAAATTGGTTAACAAGAATCCATACGAGTTATGGAAAGGCAATAGTCCCAATTTATCTTATATGAAAGCTTGGGACCATGACGCTTATTTGAAGCGTCCTGAATCGGATAAGTTTGACGTTAAATCTGATAAATACGTATTTGTGGGGATATTCAAAGCAGACGTTTGAATATTAATTCTATTATCATGAAGAAAGTCTTCGTCTGACGACATATCGTTTTCTTAGAGAAGATGTTTACTCTAGGAGAGGACAGTGGGAGTAAAATAGAATTTGAAACAGTTCAAGAGTCCACAGATATAGTTAACCAAGTAGATAAATTCGAGTTTGATCCCATATCTGATATGGGACATACTTTGGATTAGGAAGTAAAGACTCCTGAGGACATGACAGCTCTATGTGAATCTAGTAGGATCATTCGACCTTCAAGAAGGTGCGAATCCATGATCATTAATCAGGTATTAGTGATCCAGGATAATGAACCTGCTAGTTGCAACAAATTAAAGTCAAGTGTTGACTTAAAAGAGACAACAAGATTCCATGATACTCGAGATGAATTCGATGTATGTGAACAAGGTTTGGACCTTGGTCGAGCCTCCTGATGGAATAAAACCCATAAGGTTTTGTAAATAGTTTATAAGGGAAAAGGTCGACGTGGATGTGAATATCCATATATACAAAGCAAGGCTAGAAGCAAAGGTTAAGTGTTGACCTTGGTAAAACTTCTCTCCTGTGGCCCTGCTGAAGTCCATTCAGGTTTTATTTGCAACAGTTGTATATCGTAACTAAATGTTAAGATAAGTCTCTACGGAACTGAAATCTTTGATTTGATGAAAAAAGTCAAAGTGTTTGATTTTATCAAATTTGAAGACGAATTATGTGTTTACAAGAAGATAGTGGGAGCATTGTCGTATTCCTAATATTATAGAAAACGACATCCCTATGTTTCAATCGTTGAAATAATGGTTGTTAAATGATTTATTCATAAACGATATGGGATAAGCAACTTGATCTATAGAGGTAGATCTAGAAGAATGCTTAACTCATCCCAATTTACATAGATGAAATCTTGAGAAGATTTCATATGGAGAAACTGGTTTACTCTTAAGCGGTATGTTGGAAAGGTTCCAACCGTGAAGCAACCGTTGATTCAATAGTAGAAACCTAATACATGGTTACTTCAGAAGTAGCAAAGAGTTGTAATATGGATCATGATGTTCATAAATGAACTTGGAGTAGTTTCTGATATTGTTGATCACATACCATAGTATTGTGATAACAATAGAGCCATTGCGAAAGCACAGGAACTAAGGTCTCATCAATGATCCAAACATGTATTAAGACGGTATAATCTCATCAGAGAGATAATACATAGAAATGACGTAAAGAGAGGAACAAATTTCCACATTTAGTAATATTGCAGATCCATTGACAAAGAGTTGTCATAGTATAAACATAATCATTATGTAGACTTATGATATTGGATACATAAGTGATTGGATCAACTTTGGACATAAATACTTTTATATATAATTAATACAATTAAATGGAAGATCTATTATGTAATTAATAGACAATTAAATAAATAATAGAGTCTGTAGATTCAAATCTTTGTAATTTGTTAATCACAAGGAGTTGTGATTGTGAGATACAAATTACATCTGATTGAATCTTAAATCATCCGTGGTCGTAAGTAATAACGAGATACGGATATCGTTATTACGGATAGACCATCACGTGTGGCATTTCTTACTTGTGAAGTAAGTAGCCGATCTCGTAAGCTAAAGTGTGGTGACACTTAAATGAACACGTGGATGTTTTGTTATAGAACAAAACATTGGAGACCCGAGGAGAGATTCCACATGGATAACTATCTGAGTGTCAGTGGTTAATCTCTAACGTTCGGTAGTGGAATTGGTCCTTTGACTTGAGGTCGTCATGGTACCTTATATGAGGGCAGTCATATTTTGACGGTGTTGGATGTTGCTCTGAAAAGGGCCGCTAATACGACATCGTTCGGGTACATCAAAAATCGTATGAAGGTTGTGATTGATCAATAAATGATTCGTCACTCTTAGATAGTAGGAGATTATGATATGCATTTCATTCAATTAAGTCGATGATGAAATCCTTGGCCAAGGTGTACTTATAAGTCAAAAAGGAGTTTCGACTTATATTGACTTAATAGTGGAGTGAAAGATATGATCGATGATCGAGATTGACACAATTCCATATCTCGTAATTGATCGGATCATATTGACGGAGGGATTATAGTTTCACGGTAAACGAACAAATTTGGTTTTGTCATACCACGTGACATTTCCCGTCACATGTATTGCCCTAACACATTGCTAAATGTCAATCAAGGACGACGAGTGTGAATTGAAGATAAATTAAAATGGTGTTTTAATTTATCAATTTTGATTAGATCAAAATAATATTTCACGTTGTTAGGCATCATGGTCGGGAACCTAATGAGTCGCACACAAAAGAGAATTGGAAGATTGCAAATTGCTAATTGGTTAATTTAACAATCGTTGGATAAATTAATTAGTTGGATTTGTTATTTATATTCCCGAATTAATTAATTCATGGACCGGGTTTAGTTAAATGGATTAATTAAATATTAGACCGGACTGGGCCGAGCCCGTTTGGGTTTATATAAATACATGGCTGGGGTTTGAGATCCATATGTTTTTCATTATTCTTGCTGGCACAAGAGGAAAAACCCTGGTAGCTGCAATCTTGTTCTCTGTGTGGATTACCGTTGGAGGCTGGACAATTAGACAGCTGTGGATGGCGAATTAAGATTGCTGGAACGAAAAGAATAGCAAAGAAGTTTGCAGATCTGGAAAATGTACAATCTTATCACAATTTCTATCTAAACATAAAGACGATTCTTGGTGGAAATCGAAAATTATTTTAAATTCCGCTGTGCATGTATAAGTAGATTCCCAACATGGAGAACTTTGGATGGTGTTTGGGTGTACCAGAACTGCTGCGGCTTTAGCTTTAAGATGTTGGAAGATGGTTGTTTAAAATCAACAAATCAATATAGGGAATGAAAATACAAGAAAATGGCCGCAAAAGAACCACCATGGCTCCAAGTTAAAGCCATGCAACCGCATGGTGCTTTTGGCCATGCAGTCTCATGGCTACATACCGAGGCCAAAGGGCCTCAATTTGCATGAACCATGCGACCGCATGGTACTAAAATCCGGCCGTTGGAGGTTGATTTTTGGCTGTTGCAAGTTTAATTTTGGTGGCTTTTCATACATTTTTGGCACCACTTCGTAAGGCATAATTGAGACCTATAAATAGGTGATCAATGTTCAAGAAAAAACACTAGAAATTCATTCTAATTCAGCAATCAAAAGATCAAATTCTTGTTCTCATTAATATTCATTTCTTTATCATGTTCTTCAAAGTTTTGGTGAAAAATACTTTGCGCTTTAGGATTTTCTGCAACAAGACTTGCTACAATCTTTCAAACCATTTGTTAGAATAACTTTAAGTATCTCAAAAACACTAGAGAATGGGCAAATAACATTTGAGGACAATGATCCCGTGTTCGAGCCTTCAAAATTGTTTTTAATAACTTTCGAATTCTTCATCTTGTTTTGATACAATTTTTGTGTTATAACTTTTGTTTTTTCTCCATCACTTCCATTTTTACAATAATCTCAAACTTTATTTCTGCGATGGAGAGCGAGACTACAATGGCAAACATAAAACTCATGAATCAAGACTTAGTACTGTTGGATCGGTTCGATGGCACTAACTTCATGCGGTGGCAAGACAAGTTGAAATTTCTCATTACTGCGTTGAAGATCTTCTATATTTTGGATCCAGATTTGGCGTCGTTATCGAAACCCACAAATGGAGAGACCGAACCAATCAAGACTGAGAGGCAGAAATGCCAAGAAGATGAATTAATATGATGTGGTCATATACTCAATGTGCTGTCGGATTGTTTGTAGGATTTATACACAAACATAACATCGGCAAATGAGATTTGGAATGCATTGAAAAATAAGTACAAAGCAGAACATGAAGGTACCAAGAAATTTTTTATTTCTAAATACTTTGACTTTAAATTTCTTCATAATATCCCCTTACTTCCCCAAGTGCATGAATTACAAATAATTGTCAACAAACTAAAGACGGTAAAGATTGAAATTTCGGAGACTTTTCAAATGGGGGCTATAATTGCTAAACTCCCGGGGACTTGGAAAGGATATCTGAAGAAAATAATGCATAGTTTCGAAAATTATTCTTTGGAACAATTACAAAAACATCTTCAGATTGAGGAGAAATCTAGATTGCATGATAGAAGTGAAAACTCATTGGAAGGAACTTCTAAGGCAAATGCTGTTGAAAAATTTGAACCGTCTGCAAAGTCCAACAAGAGGAAGCCTTCAAGGAACATTAAGAAGTCCAAGAAGAAGACCAAATGAGGGTGTATTTTGTGTGAAAAATATGGACATCACGCGAAAGATTGTAGACATCGAAAATGAAATTGTGGTCACCGTAAGCGAAATAAATGCAATTAAGAGAAAGGTTCCCGGGTAGTGGTATGATACTTGTGCAACTTACACGTATCATATGACAAATCATTATTCAAACATATCGTGAAGTGGATGGAGACCAAGAGATTTAAATGGATAACGAAGTTCGGTTCAAGGTTATTGGAAATGAAATGTTGATATCTTCACTTCCGAGAAAACCGTTACTCTTACAAATGTACAAGTTTTGGATATGAATAAGAACTTGGTTTGTAGAAATCTCTTAGGAAAATCGGACATTAAAAATGCATTTGAGTTCGGTAAACTTGTATTGTCCCTTAAAGGGAAATTTGTTGGAAAAGGCTATTCTTGTGAAGGAATGATCAAACTTTGTACCGTTGACAATGAAATGAATAAAACTGATTTTGTTTATGTTGTTGAATTATTTTCATTATGACATGCTAGATTAGGACGTACTGGTAAAAATACTATAAAATGTATGAAAAAATGTGATTTAATTTCATATGATGAAAATAAGGAATATAAATGCAAGACATGTGAAGAATAAAAAATGACTAAAAGACCATATCAAAGTGTTAAGAGAACTTTTAGTATCTTAGAATTAATTTGTACCCATATAAGTGAACTAAATGGCATACTAACTAGAGGTAGAAATAGGTATTTTATTATCTTTATTGATGACTTCTCTAGATACACGTATATTTATTTGATGAAACATAAACATGAGGCTTTTAACATGTTTAAAGTGTATATAAGCGAAGTTGAAAATTATCTAGAAAAAAAAATAAAGACTTTAAGAAGTGATATAAGTGGTGAATATTTTTCTAGCTATTTTAACTTGTTTTATGAACAATATGCACCTCGGACACCCAAACAAAATGGTTTGACTGAAAGGAAAAATAGAACATTAGTCGAAATGATTAATGTCATGCTTATATTTGCTAAGTTGCCATTTAATTTATGGGGTGAAACTTTATTAAGTGCATGTAAAATACTTAATAGGATTCCTTCAAAACATACAAAGATTTCTCCCTACGAATTGTGGAAAGGAAGAAAATCGAATATTGGATACTTCAAAGTGTGGAAGTGTCTTACTTATTGTAAGAACACAAATCCTAATGGGGCCAAATTAGGTCCAAGAGGCATTAAATGTGCCTTCTTTGGATATGCTAACAATAGCAAATCTTATAGATTGCTAAACTTGGATACCAATGTGATTATCGAATCAAGTGATGTAGAGTTCTTTGAAGATTCGTTACCTTCGGATAATGAATTAAGGGAAAATTTTAAAAATATCCCTAGCTCAAGTGGAACACGTGATGAAATGTCTTCTAAAGATATTGATGAGTCTAGTGAACCACGAAGAAGTAAGAGAACTCGAGTTGAGAAGTCTTTGGGATCAGATGAAATTGATTATCAACTTATCTCCTTTTACTTAGTAGAAGGAAATGAGTTGAATGTTGTAAAAATAATTCCTTTTATTCTACAAGTGGAAACCGACCCTAAAACCTATAAAGAAGCTATGGCTTCTCTAATAGCATTTTCTGGAAAGATGCAATTAAAGATGAAATGGATACGATAATATCTAATAAAACTTGAGAACTTATCGATTTACCATCGGGATCCAAACTTATTCGATGTAAATGGGTATTTAGGAGAAAATATAATGTTGACGGCTCGCTAGACTATTTTGAAACTTATACACTAGTAGCTAGAATAACATCAATAAGGATATTATTCGCTTTAGCTTCAATACACAATTTGCATGCTCGTCAAATGGATGTTAAGACAACATTCTTAAATGGGAGTCTTGATGATGAGGTATATATGGAACAACCCGAACGATTTTTTCTACCTAAAAATGAACATAAGGTGTGCAAGTTAGTAAAATCATTATAGGATTTGAAGCAGACACCTAAGAAATGGAATGAGAAGTTTGACTTAGCAATAATATCATTTGGATTTAAACATAATAGTGTAATAGATGCTTATATTCTGATGTGATGATTATATGACATTTATATGTTTATATGTTTACGACATGTTGATCATAAGTAATCACGTGGACGGAATAGAAGAAACGAAGAGGTTTCTATTTTTCACATTCAGAATAAAGGATCTTGGACAGGTGAATACCATTTTAGTTATCAAAATCACAAAGACTAGTAGGAGTTACCATCTAACTCAATCACAATATTTTGAGAATGTGATAAATAAGCTCAAACATTTGAACATAAAAGAATATAGTACCCCAATTGATCCAAGTTCAAAACTTGTAAAAAATGATGGAAGAGTGATTGCTCAATTGGAGTATGCTAATGCTATAGGAAGTCTTATATATGCAGTTTAATGCACAAGAACAGATATAGCATATGCAATTAGCAAACTTAGTAGATTTACTAGCAATCCAAGCAATGATTATTGGAAGGTTGGTAGAGTTCTTGGATACTTAAAGAAAACCAAGAACTTAGGCCTATAATGTACTAAATTTTTGACAATATTGGAAGGATTTACCGATAGTAGTTGGATATCTAGCACGGGTGAAAGTAAATTCATCTCAAGTTGGGTGTTCACTCTAGGAGGAGGTACCGTTTCTTGAAAATTAAAGAAACAAACATTTATAACACACTCTACCATAGAATTTGAATTTGTAGCCCTATCGGATACCGAGATAGGGGTTGAGTGGCTTAAAAATCTCTTTTATGAGATACCTTAGGGATCAAAGAATATTTCTTCAATACCTATCATGTGTGATAGTCAAGCTACATTATCAAAAGCATACAATGAGGTATACAACGGAAAGTTTAGACACATGAGTCTTAGACATGACTATATAAAGAAATTAATCAGGGATGGAATAATTTCCTTAAATTATGTAAGGTCAACTGAAAATTTAGCGGATCATTTAACTAAACCTCTAAATAGAGATTTAGTAGCATCTACTTCGAGTAAGATAAGGTTGAAACTCCTTCACTAAAAAGGTCCACCAATGATGGCAACTCTACCTGTAATTACTCAAAAGGAAATTCACAGGTTCAAAGAGTAACAACAAGTCATTCGATATATGAATAGTTACATCATTATTCAAATTCGTTATGATCCTATCCTAATTAAATAATGCTTGTTGTTACTGAAACGAGGGTTTAGCGTTAAGATCTTAATGAAATTCAGTGCTACAACACAAGTACCTTTAAAAGTAACAAAGGTACTGGAAGAACTTCACCTAAATAATCTTCAAGGTGGTGCCACCTTAATTGAAAGTTGTATTTTCTCTCTTAAAAGATCATTGAAAAAGGATAAGTGCAAGGCCATAATAGCGCTAAACGAGTTATGAGGAACTTGAGAACACATGGTACTCATGTGTGTGTTCTTACAGGTATTGTCACATGGAATAATTGGTTCAAAAAGCTTCACGCTACCTTTGATTTCGACTCTACTTTATTTGATTGCACTGTGGTTAGATTCAAATCAAAAAATGTCTAATCCTTATGCATGAGTATTATATACTTTGAATAATGAGACCTTTTTAATTTTAAATAAATGGGGGATTGTTGGAAGATGGTTGTTTAAAATTAACAAATCAATATAGGTAATGAAAATACCGGAAAATGGCCGCAAAAGAACCACCATTGCTCCAAGTTAAAGCCATGCGACCGCATGGTGCTACTGGCCATATGGTCGCATGGCTACATACCGAGGCCAAAGGGCCTCAGTTCAAATAAACCATACGACCGTATGGATTTGTACCATGCAGTCGTATGGTACCAAAATCGACCATTCGAGTTCGGTTTTTGGCCGTTGCAAGTTTAATTTTGGTGGCTTTTCATACATTTTTTGCACCACTTCGTGAGGCATAATTGAGACCTATAAATAGGTGATTAATGTTCAAGAAAAAATATTTGAAATTCATTCCAATTCAACAATCAAAAGATCAAATTCTTGTTCTTATTAATATTCATTTCCTTATCGTGTTCTTCAAAGTTTTGGTGGAAAATACTTTGTGATTTAGTATTTTCTACAACAAGACTTGTTACAATCCTTCAAACCATTTGTCAGAATACCTTTACACATCTCAAAAACATCGAAGAAAGGACAAATAACGTTTGAGGATAGCGATCACACGTTTGAGCCTTCAAAATCGTTCTTAATAACTTTCCAATTCTTCATCTTGTTTTGATACAATTCTTGTGTTATATCTTTTGTTTTTTCTCCATAGTTTCAATTTTTACAACATAAGATTGATTTGATTGCTCGTTGCGATGACGGCAACGACGATGGTAGTTGCGGGAATTTTAAAAAGTAATATTGTCTAGAGACAACGAAGGTTTTCACGACTCGGGTATGGTTTCGCCTTTCACGCTTTGCCTAATTTCGGATGGACAGAAACGGAACTGAATGTACTATACAATTTTTTTTACCTGTTGAGGAGCTTCTATTGAAACCTAAGTTGGAGAAAAAGGGTGAAGAATACTCTTTTATTAACCCCCGTTTGGCCCCCATTGTCGAGAGATGAAAATAGGCGAAATATTGTTTTTTTGAAAAATAAGTGGTTGAAAAAGAAGGAAAAGTTTTCGATTTACGTATAATATTATTTTATGAAAGATTGTGTGGTTAAAATAGGAAAGAGAAAATGAAATGTAATAGAATTAAAATTAATGGGGGCAAACATGGGTTAATTTTTATTATTATTATTTATATCCTTACAAATAGGTTGATTAGCAGCAAAACTCATTAGACATGGTGCGTAAAACTTTCCCCCTATTGAAATTAGCAAAAAGGTCCATGTATGAAACTTAAAGTTTGTTTCAACCCTGCCATCCCTTTTTTGAATAAAAAGCTGTAAAATGATCAACAAAAAAATAATAAAGAACTAGAATTGCAACCATAGTTTCTATTTTTTCAGAAAAAAGTGTAAAAGAATCTTAAATAAATAATAAAACAGATTAAGATTAAAAAAAAAATAAAAATCTCCACCACCCCTAACATCATCACTATCCATACTTAAAAATGTACAAAATCACAAACCCTTAATCAAATACAAAATTTAATTTAACAAACTTAGATTTTTAATACTTTCAACCCTTCACCTTGAAAAATTTACCCCCCACATATGTTTTATATTTATGGTATAAATATAAAATGTGAAAGAAATAATCAAATTAGATGAAGTGTCAAAGTGGTGGAAAATGTGGCATTTGTGTGAGACGTCAGGAGTTCGAGTCACTCTCCACGCAAATATTAAAACGTCTTGATTGGGGCCTTAGCTAAAATAAATTATTTTTATTATTTAATGGGTAAAACTAGTCAGTATTTTCTGACCGTTTGTTTTTGTGACAACTCCCTCACAGTCATTAAAATATTCACTACTTAATCATTAAAATTCTACATTACTCTTTGATTATGATGGAGACTGTTACTTCCATCTTACTTATATAAACCCATATCTCATTTTGGAAAAAACACACATAAAAAAAAAAATCATCTTGCATCAATCCTTCCTTTTTATATTCTAAATTTCTTATACTTGGGTCTTTATATATATTCTGGAGTACAATTGAGAGTTCTGGAAAAATCATTCGTGATTGTTGTACAAGTGGTTTACGATCGTTGTATCCTGAGAGTGATTGTCCACGGAGGTCGCAACAATTATCGACGGACAATTTCACTTTAGGACATCGTGCTATCACGAGACTTGATCGGATGATAAGTTTTATATTTCTGCATTTTATTGTTCTGAACATTACTATAACTAATTATTTTTCCAACAACATATACTTCCAAAAGCACTCTGCATTGTATCGTCGCTTATTGTTCAAGCTAAGAATCGAGGCATCGATCTAGTTCTAATCAACCTTAGCAAGCCATTAATCGATCAAGCCCCATTCCATTGCATCTTCCACAAAATTCACGGCCCAGAATGGAGCAAACAATTGACAGAATTCTCTTACCAAAACCTTGATGTTACTGTTGTCAATTTTCTTGACTCCATTAATCAACTTCACAACCGAATTACCACACTCCAAATTGTAAATGAGCTAAATATCTGTCAACAACCTAAAATTTCGCTTGGGATTTCGATGGAGACTTTGTTAAAAATCTTGCATTCTTCTATGAAACAAATGGGTTGAAGTTTCCAGTAACTGCGAAGCCAATGGTTGCAAATGGAAGCACGATGTTGTATGAGATTTAATATGGGTTGGGAAGAGGAGATTTTTATTATTATTATTTATATAGCACTCGTTTGCATTTTTTGAATAATTTTAGACTAAGGTCGCAATTAATTCTTACTGCTTTTTTTTAATAGAAGTGTATTCATCATTTCATAGATTTTTATTATAAAAATAGACAGTAATGGGTAAAATACACTCCAAATTTCATACAAGAATCTTTTTCGTCAATTCCAATAGGTGGGGGGGGGGGTTTGAACATCATGTCTAATAGGTGAGGGGGTTTGTGCCGATCAGTCTTACAATTTGGCCTCTATTATTTCAAATTTTAATGGGAGAATAGTACTTTTTTGAAGAATTGATGATTGAAAAAGAAGAAAAATATTTCGATTTACGTATAATATTATCTAATGAAAAATTTGTGATTAAAAATAGGAGAGAAGAAAATAATAATTAATTTATTGGAGACTAAACAAGGACATCTAAAAGCCAACTGAGGACAACACTCTTCACACTTTTGATCGATATGATGGCGTTTTGGATTAGTACAAAACAATGTCCTTTTGGTACTTCTTGTATTTTAAGTTTTTGGATTAAATGTTGAAACGACGTACTTTTGATTAGGGATGTTAAACAAGCGGAGCGGTTCGTACTTTTGATTAGGGATGTCAAACAGGCCAAGCGGCTCGTTGGCTCGTGGACAGCTCGGGCTCAATCCCATGAGTCGAGAGCCCACGAGCCATTTTTGACGAGTCGAGCCCAGTTCGTGGGCTCATCAAAAAATGTGTAAAATTACAAAAAAAAGTCAAAAAATCCAAAAGAAAATTAAAAAATCAAGAGCTCGCGAGCGGCTTGTGGGCTCGGCTTGGCTCGACTCAGCCCACAAGCTCGTGGGTTAAAGGGCCGGATTGGCCCATTGCCATCACTACTTTTGATTTAGAGGAAATTGCACCATCTCCGGTGTTTTAACTTTACAATGCAAAAATCTGGTATGAAATTTTGTTATTCACAAATTCGGGATAAATATGATAATTAAATATATTCCCCAATTCTAACCCTAACCATTTCAATTCACACACACACACACACACACTCTCTCTCTCTCTCTCTCTCTCTCTCTCTCTCTCTCTCATCATTACCAGGCACTAGTGCTTATATAGGTTATGAAATAGAAAGTGGCACCAGAACAACCATCCGGCGGCGGCACTAACCACGACCATTCGACGACAACATCACCATTACTATCGGCGCTTTGAGATCGGCATTGCCCGACAACTAATTTTGGAGATTTTTTTGTGGGAATTTGAAGCTGTGGCGGCAGAGGTGGTGAATCTGACGATTAGGTTGGTTTTTGTTGGCGACTGCACTGTTTTGCGGTGTTGCTCGAAGAAGAATTTTGGAGATTTTTTTTAGTGGGAATTTAAGGCAGTGGCAGTGGCGGCGGCTTGTTGGATCTGGTGGTGGTCTGTGCCGGCTTCTCGAGCGACGACTTCTAGATCGTCGTCGTGTGAATATTGATCTGTCAGTGTCTGAATGGTGCGAATATTGATCTTTTGGTGGTGGCTGTAGTGGTGTGTTCAGATCTGGATGGTGGTGCGGTGATATTGTGTGGTTTACAGTGGTGGTCGTGTTGGCGGTGGAGACGTTCGTTATGTGTTGTTGGTGTTTTTTATGGTGGCGAAGGTGGTGGTTACCTTGATTTTTGTTGGGTATTTATTGGTGCTGTGGTGGTGGCAGTCGTGGTGGTTTCTGGTGGTAGAGGAGGTGGTTGCCTTGATTTTTGTTTTTGTTGGTGTTGGTGTTGGCATCGATAAAAGGGTGAGGGTGGTTGCAAGTGCCCTTGACATCAATGATGGTACGATAGTGGTGGCGGCGGCCTGTGACCACTATTTGACGAGTGTGACCAACTATTTAGTTATCTGTGACCTTGGCGACGGCAACAGGGTAAGGGTGGTCGCAAGTGGGCGTGATGGCAGTGGCGGTGGTCTGTGACCACTATTTGACTTATGTGACCATCTATGACCAAATATTTAACTGTCATTAACAAATTTGAAAATATGTGACCTATAAATTTTTAGATTTGTGACCATCGAAATAATCTGTAATCTATAAAAAAATTTATTTGTGACCTCCAAATAATCTGTAACTAATTAATTTAATGATATGTGACTAATAAATAAATTGTGACCTAAA